CAACCAATAAACACATAGAAAAGACCTAGGTTTACAATTTATGAATTAAAACTCTACTATCTACACAATATACATAGACATAAAATAGTAAAAACTTAAATATCTTAGAAACAGTAGCCAATCAGTTGTTTTAATTGTCATATTTGAATTCAGCACATCAAAATACATAATAAATAGCACATTTTATCTCTGAAGCAGATGACTTCTCAAAAATTGTAGACCAGTGTAATGAGGTAGGTTTGTGGAGGTTTATGGGGAGTTCCTCTCAAGCATGATGGGCAGCACTGGAGAAAGCCCAAAGATGCTTATTTGAAAATTTAACAAGTGGGCTATGAAGTCTGGCATCATGGCATGCAAGAGTCCACATCTCAATAGTGGATGAAAGGTGATAGGAAAGGTGGGGATAAGCCAGGAAGGGCCTTGAAAGAGAAGACTAGTGCTTATTATGATCAAGAGCTCAGTTTTCATGTTGATCTTCTCTTATAAGACTGGAAGTAATTAGTTCTGTAACTTTGAAAAGATATGTCCAAATTGCACTGTGATAGAAATAAGTTGTCCTGGCATACCCAAGGTGCTTTACAACTTATACAAGATGGCTCAGAAGTGCACAAGTAGACACATATATTTAGCTACTCGCTGACCCTCATATCGCCATGGACATGGGCACAAACCTTGACATTGCTCATCTCAGAAGCGATGCTCCTGGTATTTTGAAAAGTAAATATAATGTGGTTTTATTTTGTCTAGTCTATAATATATAAAATCCTTTCCCTAAATTCAAGGCAACAGACAGCATGTGGTGTACATTACAGAAAACAGCAGTGTAGCAAACACATCCTAGAATAGAAACCACATGTAGTAGCCAGTGTGTAAATTTAATCAGAAATACATAGTTTTACATTAAGTGAAATTATTCCCCATCCCTCCCCTGTTATTTTGCATTTACGAGACAAAATACTATAATGAACTTTTAAATTTAAAGTGAAAGAAAGAAAATGGGGCTTTACAAATATTCTCGTCTCCATAAAACATTACAGAAAAGATCTTATATTCACCAAATTAGAATGTAAAGGTGTTACTTAGAAAATTACACAGAATCAAGAGAAAGGCATGAGGACACTGAAGCAAAGAGACAAAAAAACAAACAGGAAAAACCACACCCCTAGAAAGTAGCTATGGACATAAATAAATAGAATACAACCCCTTAAGAGATCATGATGCACATATTTACTCTACCATTCAATCAGTCATAATAAAGATGCCTCATAACTCTGATCTTTTTTTCAGGGAAACTAAAGATTAGGTTAAGGCAAAATAGCCATTTTCTGTTCTATATATAGTCCTATCTATCCATCTTCTAGCAGTGATGAGAGTCTTTTCACAGAGTAGAAAGAAATATCCCAAAGATGAATAGATTCTTATTATCCACCATAGGTGCCACGCTGAGATCCAGGTAATTAGGAATTAGGTTTTCTCACACACAGAGATAATGTGTGCTTTTGGGCGGGGACCCCAAACAAACAACAGAACAACCTGTCTCCATCAGAGAGTGCTGCGTTTGAGCCTCACTCTGCAATCGCCTCCATCTTCAATTACCTCCCAGCACACTATCTCCATTCTCCATCACCCAGCAGATAGGCAGGAAGATTCCATATATTTAAAAGTTGTGACGTAGATCTTCATAGACACCAATGGTGGATTAGACACTAAGGACTAGATCCACAAAGGGGACAGTGGCTAATTTTCAATCACCTCGTCATGCAGTGTAATTCACAGCCCTTAGTTAAGCACCCAAGCTCCCTATACAATGCAAGGAAAAATTAGGCACCTAAGAATGGTATCCACAAAAGCCAGCTCACTGAACAGGAATCTGCCTAAGCTAGCCAATAGGAAATGACAAGAGGGGTTGAACTTAAGTCTGGTTAGTGGGCGGTGCCTAACTCCACTGGAGATAGAGGCCAAAGCCCTTTATCACAAAAATTGAGTTGGAGGAGCCACCACTCCCCTGAATAACTTTTAGCCCCCTAATTAGAACATTCACCTATGATGGGGCATTCCCTCTCTGCTCAACTTCTGCCTTGCCTGTACAGCTGCTGCCTACAGAGTACAAGTATCCTGGTTCAAATTTCAGCTGATGTAATATGCAGGCCACTTCCATAGACTTCAATGGAAGCACTCACATGCTGAAAGTTAAGCCCGTGCTTCTGTACTTTTCTGGATTAGGCCAGTGCGCTCAGCACCTTGCAGGTTCAGGCTCAGACAGATACCCACTCCCAGATGGAGCATCCACTAACTGTATGTCTGACAGTTTCCACGTTCTTTCTCCACCCCTCCAGCTAAGAAAAAGAAAGCATTTCCAGTCCAGAAGTGTTTCCAATATACATGCAAAATGTCCCAGCAAGTTCCTCATCACACACAGTGCATTTTTCAAAATGTCAGCATTACCTGGACAGATTACATATCTAGTTAACACCAGTTGACTAACTGGTAAATGTGCATGACAAAGATTAATGTTGGATCTATTTGCTCTTCATTTTTAAGTGCTTGTGGGTAGCCAAATGACCTCTGTAAACAACCAAGAACATTTTTTTTTAAAGAGAGTTACCAAGACCTCATTAAAACTGCCAGGGACTGTGCTTTAATGATCCATTTCCTTTCTCTTTCGTACTACTTACAAGATATTTGTACATAACTAGAAGTGTTTGTTCATGAAACCAACTTCCCCCTTTTTCCTGGGTCACGCATTGGTGTCACATTCCCACGCTTGTGACATAATTCCTTGTATACTGTTGAGTTCAAACGCATTGCTAACTTTTCTCCAGTTAAAACAGATGATTAGCAATCCTTTTGGAAAGTGCTGCAGTTGATTTAGGCTGTATGACTTTAACACTACTAGGAATCAAACAGCTAAAACCCCAGGTAATGCTTTAGAATCCTACTTAGTGTTTCCATAGCTTGTCTTTGACCAGTATTTTTTAGGTAAAGGATTTAATGTACTGGAAATATCTTGTTAGCTAGCAGGGTAGTATTTATTGGGCTTGAAGGGCTTGTGGTAGTTATGGAGTCCAATAGGGTCTTAGATCAAGTGGAAGAGATAAATGGTAAACAGATTATTACTAGTACTGAATGTATGTGTATGAATGGGTTTCTATTGTTTTATTCTTCCCCACCCCTGTTTTTGCCCTGTGGCAGCCAGCATGGTTCAGTGGATAGAACACTGGGATGGGGAGAAGTCAGTTCTCTCTCTGGCTCTGCTACTGACCTGTTCTATGACCTTAGTTCCATCACTTCCTCTCTCTGCACCTCTGCTTCCATTCTACTTTTGTGTCTGTACTCCTATGGGGAGGAGTTTAATTATCAGTGCAGTTATTTATGGGATCATCTAGGAAAAGCAAGTATTTAAGTGAATAATATTTATTGTACTGGGTAATCCAAACAACATATTGATAATATCATAAAGGTACCTTAGTGTACTCTCATTGAAGCTGATTACATGTTTGATTGTGTCACAGGAATACCAGTGAGAGAGAAAACACCATTGCCCAAGCTGGCTATTTTCCTTGCAGTGGAAGCTCCCAATAATAGCTGCATTTTCAGCCACCGGAGCTTTTGCAGCTGGGAATGGTATGTGAACCCTGGCCTGCTATTTTCTAGGAAATGCAGGTGAGAAGTCAAGTAGCTATTTAGTTTTTGTTTGTAATTGCTTAGATGAAAAAATGTGTCTTAAGAATTACTTTTATTCAAGCAAGTGAATAGAAGGATTTTCTACTCAAGCTGTATCACATATCAGTAAATGCTTTGTTATGGTTTGGTATGAGGTTAATTGATTGTTTTCCTTTATGAATGAAGAAGCAGCTTGAACTCTTTTGGGTGAGGAACTTTGCATAATCTTTGCATAGAAAATGGTCTGTATCGAACAGGAATAGAAACAGGGCCAGCTCCAGGGTTTTTGCCGCCCCAAGCGGCGAACAAAAAAAAAAAAAAAAGCCACGATCGTGATCTGCGGCGGCAATTCGGCGGAAGGTCCTTCACTCCAAGTGGGAGTGAGGGACCGGCTGCCGAATTGCCGCTGAATAGCTGGACGTGCCGCCCCTCTCCAGAGTGGCCGCCCCAAGCACCTGCTTGGCAAGCTGGTGCCTGGAGCTGGCCCTGAATAGAAATATGGTACAGCTGGAGGAACTACAGAAGCAGGCAGAAGCCTGGCTATGATTTTGGATTATAAGCATTTCTGCTCATTTATAATTCAGATAATAGAGAATTCATTAATTTCAGCTGTGGCAATTTGTATTTTAATATATTTTGCTAAACATCTCTTTTTTAAATCTTTTTTTGAATAAAGGATCATTTTTATATATAAATCTGCCACAGTTGCTCAATGACACAGCTCAATGTCTTAAAACTGATTTTATATACACAGGCACATACATACGTGCACATACATGAATACAGACACACACACATATACACATTTTATATACATATAAACAAACAGTTGGTTTAAATCTAATCTATGATTACATTATACTTTTCCCTCCCTTTCTGTACCTTAAACAAATAAAATCAAACAACAGTAAACTTAATATTGATTTTTTAGAGGGAAAACTAACTCTGTAATCAGGGCCGGCTCCAGGGTTTTGGCTGCCCCAAGCAGCCAAAAAAAAAAAAAAAAAAAGCCGCGATCGCGATCTGCAGCGGCAATTCAGCGGGAGGTCCTTTGCTCCCAGCGGGAGTGAGGGACCATCCCCCGAATTGCCACCGAATACCTGGACGAGCTGCCCCTCTCCGGAGCGGCCGCCCCAAGCACCTGCTTGCCAGGCTGGTGCCTGGAGCCGGCCCTGTCTGTAATGAAGTAGCTATGGTATATGTGCATCACTGATCTCTGCTGAGTGAAATCAGAAAGAACGGATTAATTGAATGCAATAGAACCTATACTGTTAATAGCTAATAGAGATTTTCCTTTAGTTCAGACATTTCCTGGAGATGCTCCTGAGATACTGTTAGTGGTGCTACTGCAAACTCTCAGGCAAATGTATTAGTGGAATTAATAAAACACTGCTTCTTACTGCAAGGAGGGTGCCCAAATCTAGGCATGGGTATGTAACAGGAAACTGTCTTGCCCCAGTGGTTTGGGACAGTCTGGTGGCACATAGATGTAAATGGTGAGTGGACTGGATGGAAATGAGAAACAGGGAGGCCACAGAGGAGGAGGGCACAGTCATGAAGATGAGTGATAACCAAAGCTCAAACAAATACTTTAGCTGAAGGCATAGGGAGAAATGAGCAGACTTTTTATATGCAGCAGGATTTGAGGACAGCCTAGATGTGTAGGGAGGAGAAATGGAAAAGCCAAAATGAACCCAAGCCTGTGCAGTGACAGGGATGGTTATGGTATTACCATCATCATCAACAGAAAAGCACAGGGTGTTTAGTAGGAAATGTAAGGAGCTCATTTTTAGCAATGTTTAATATGACGACATGGCAGGGCATCTAGGAAGAGATACTGGGAAAACAGAAAGAGATGTGAGCCTAGATAAGACAGAGAGAAGCTAGAGATAGATGTGATATTCATCAACAATGTATGGGTGTGTGTTAACTAATGATCTTAAGACCCATTGAAGTAATATTATTACTATAAAAGACTCCTAGCAAAGGAATGTTACTGAACAAATTCACAAAAGTAACTGAACTCTTGCATTAGCTATCTGAATAGAGAGGATTGACCTGGCAATGAGGAAAAACTATTTTCCTTCAAATGGATGGTCAGCATTCTATACTGGGACATGTCGCTTGGATTGCTTGAAAGAACAAACTGAAACTCAGCAGTTCAATTGCACTGGGGGGGGGGGGTGATCCTCCTGACAAACAAATTACTTTTGGTACAGGCTACAAGCTTGATAAGTTGATGCATGACTGAACCTGGATCCAGCACACTACACTGAGTACATGTTTGATCAGACCCTGCCTTGGCACCCTGGGGTGGATCTATCTTTCTGTCTAAGGTATCACTATCACCATGTTAGTTGAGTACCTGCAAAATTTCTGGTGACCCGCTAAACATAAGTGACTCTGTCCTGTCTATTGTGATCTGTGGGATTCTTTTGGACTTACGTGCTCATTCTGCATAAAAGGAAGGGTGGAGGAGGTCAGCTCTAAGCAACTATCAGCTCATTGCTGGAAGAGAAATGGGTTGCTTGGTTTGGGGCTGTGCACAGACACTATCACTTTAAATAAGTTTTATGAGGGGCAGTGGGAGGGAGGGTATTTAGAAGGTTATTGTGCAGATTGTGGACTCTGAACACTTGTGAGGTGCTCTACAACATTAAGTATTTAATTATCCCAGTGAATATTGACCATTTCTGCAGCCATTGCAAACTTCCTTCTAGTGGGTCCTATTCCATTTCATGAAATGAACAGGGGAAGATTAAGACTATAATTTTCAGAAGCACCTAAGTGACTTAGGAGCCTAAGTCCTGTTTTGAAAAATGATTAGGGCTCAGATTTTTAAAGATATTTAGGTAATGCTCAATTCAGGGTTGCAAGTGTAAGGGGTCTAAAACTCAGTGGGGTGTTTTGGGTGGCTAGCTCCCAGTAACAAAAGAAAGGGGAAGGGTCAATGGGAAATCAGGACCCTGAGACTGACAGTCCCCAGGAACAATGGGGACCAATGCTCCAGGCCAGCCTGATTGACAGGGTGGGCAGGCTAATCAAGGAGTCAGGAGGCCAAGGTGGTCTCATCGTCCATGTGAGCTGGAATTGCCTGGGTCAGACAGAGTGGGGCCGAGCTAAGGAGAAAGCAGGGGCCCAAGCTGAGCGGGGGAGCAGAGCTGTGCTACCCAGAGGGGCCAGAAAAACAGCCCAGAAGCAGGTCAGTGCTGGGAGCAGAGTCACAGAAGTAGCCCAGAGAGCAGATCTGTGCTGGGAGGAGAGCTGCAGCAACCAGAGCCAGAGGGCCCAGAGAAGCATCACAAGGAACTGGAGGCAGAGCAGCAGAAGCAGCCGTGCCGAGGCAGAGTGGAGCTGTAGCTGAGGCAGAGAAGCTGGAGCAGTCCAGAGTCGGGTGTGGTGAACAACTGGGGAGAGTGAGGGGGACCCTGGGCAGCGGGCCCAGCACAGGGAGACGACCCTAGCCAAGGCACCTGGCAGGCCAGACTTGGAGGGAGATCGTAACCCCAACGGGGCGGAGGCGACGCTGGGAAGAAGGGTCTTGCCACCTAGAGCCTGAGAGCGTGTGGCCACCGCCAGAGCAAGTGTCCGACCCACAGCATCCCTGAGGCACAGCCAGGGCCTGAGAAGGAGGCCTAGGACTTGTGAGGAACAGACTGAACTTCCCTTACATTCCAGAGATGCTGGTTGTGATGTCCCTGTGCCACAGAGCGGGGTGACGGGTTTTCTTTTAACCTTTCCCATTTTTTCCTTATTTTTTTCAATTGATTGCTGTTTAATAAATTGTATTTTCTTTTAACTGTATGTAATGATCAATGGGTCAGGGAAGCATCCAGTGCAGAGAGAGCACGCTGGAGTGGGGACACCCTAGCCCCTGCCCTAAGTGACCACGACAAGGTTGGGGGTTGAGGCCCCCAGGAATCCTGGGCCCAGCCTTGTTGGGGTTACGAGGACTCTGCCACACAGCGTGGAAGGGGAGCGCTTGAGGTCAGGCAGGCTTCTGGGTAAAGGAAGTGGGAGTGAGGACTCGGATCCTTTCGCTAGCTCACTTCACCGGGGTAGTGTATAAGCCAGGAAAGTTCCCCACAATAGTGGGACCATTCCACCGCTTTCACAAGCCTATGTTTCTTTCAAACATGACTTAGGCACTTGGGCCCAGATCCTCCAAAGTATTCAGGCAGTAAATGCCCATTGCAATCATTGACTTCAATTGGAGTTAGATGTCTCAGTAACTTTGAGGATCTGGGACTAAGTCACTTTTGAAAAGGAGCCTTAGTCTCGTAAGTCAGTTAGGTGTTGCAACATTGAGCAAAACGATGCTTAAATGTCTTTTAAAAATCTGGGCCCAAGCCCAGCAGAGAAGCTGGCTTAGCTATAGGCAGCCAGCTGGAAGGGAACTAGCAGGAGCCAGCCTCATCAGCATAAACCTGTTATTTCCCCCACCAATTTATTTGGGGTCTCTCACAAAATCACAGCCTCAGGGCCAGTGTTTCGTTTGTTGTAGTGCATCACAGAAATAACTCCTGACCATTAGGAACAATCAGAGTGACAAACTTTCAAACCTACTGAGCAGTTATTTTTTCAAGCCTATCTTTGCAAGGACGAGGGCAGGGATCGGCAACCTTTGGCACGTGGCTCGGTTTGTTTACCTGCTGTGTCTGCAGGTTTGGCTGATCGCGGCTCCTGCTGGCCGCGGTTCGCCACTTTGGGCTGCGGGACGCGGTGTGGGCCGAGGGATGTGGTGGCCACCGCTTCCCGCTACCCCATTGGCCTGGAGCGGCGAACCGCAGGCAGTGGGAGCCGCGATCGCTGAACCTGTGGATGCGGTAGGTAAACAAACCGGCCTGGCCCGCCAAGGGGCTTACCCTGGCGAGCTGCGTACCAAAGTTGCTGATCCCTGGACTAGGGCAAGGTATTAACTTTTTCTGAAAAATGAAAGACAAGAGTTTTCTTGTCACCATTTCCAAACCTATCATTGTGAGGATCAGTGATCCACAATACGCTGTATGCCAACTTTGATGCTAAATTCTTTCTCTTTCTGAGATGTATTTAACTCAGTGCTGTAAGGCAAATGCAGTTTCCATTTCCAAATTTAGATCTAAAATTCATTTGTAAGCACATATATATTTTTAACTAGAGTAACAGAAGTGAAGATGGCAAAAGTTTCATGCAGCTGGGACAGAATATGCCCACAAGTCAGTATAAAACCATAATAAGTCAGTAATACAGCAGGGTCACAGTTGGATGCATCTGACATAACTGAATAGGATTTTGTCAACCACTCATTTTGAATTTAGAGAACATTTTATTGCTATGTGCTAATATTGAATCAGTGTTCCCCATATGCTCGCTTTCCATTCAAAAACGTATCAGGGGGAATAAATGAAATGGAAAAAAATTCAAAGTCACACAGTCTATTCATTCTCCCCCACCCAATCTGCAAGACAGGGTCAAATAATGAAATGGAAAGCAATGATCGGGCAGTATCTGAACTTCCAAGCCTGTGAAACTCAACTAGTAACATAGGCCAAGTCTACAATACATGGTAAGGTATGATTCCCCTGCGTGTGTGCTCATGCTAGTTCTCATCAAGCTATCATGAGTATAAATAGCAGTGTCACTGCGGTATCACTGGTAGTGGCAGCAGAGGCATAGCTGAGCTGTGTAAAGTACAAACCTACCTGAAACCGGTGTGTATGTACTTGGCCCAGCCATGCCTTCGCTGCTCATAGCAGTGCTACAATGACTACACTGCTATTTCAAGCTAGCACACATATGTGTACCCAAGCAGGGGAATCATACACACACACAGCTCGTAGTGTAGATTTAGCCACAGAGGGACTCACTTTCAGTGTTCCCCTCCAACCCCCACAGCCATGGAAGAACAGCACCACCAATGCCCCCTCCCATCCAGCCTCACAAGTAGTGGTTTTCTGGGGGGCAGCGGGGAGGGGGAGGTGGGGAGGGGGGAGTTAAGAGGTCTGGTTCCCTGAAAGCGGATTAGGAGAAAACATCTTCTAAAAAAGATGGGGAATGGGCTTGTGGTTCTTAATGCCTCGTGCAGCCTGGAGACAGACAATCTCCTCTTTCCCATACCCTTAACCTCATACAAGGAGAAGGTAATGAGGTTCCAGCCATACATCTGGGACCAGGTTAATGGATAGGGAATTGATTGCAGCCCTTCATCAGATGGAACAGAGAGGTAAGGGGCTGATAGCAGCGCTCCACCAGGTGGAACAGATTATAGTGGATGAGCTACACTGGATGAGTTATTGCTAGATAGTTTCCCAGATATACTACTTAATAAACTTGAGGCCCAGTTAAACTATATTCCTGGTGTCTATTTTACCAGGTATATAGAAATAATGTATTTGAAAGACATAACATGTTGCAGTGTTACTGAGAGACTGAAGTGCACTTTTATTCGTTTTGGTATTCTAGAACAACTAATGACGGACAACAGGCCACAATTACTACAGCAGAATTTAAGTAATTCCAAATGAAATATTATTTGGATCATACTACTAGCACCCCACATTACCAGCAAGCAAATGGAGAGGCTGACACTCAGCCAAGAAAATCCTACAGCAGGAAGATCCATTCTTTGCTCTTCTGAGTTACAGATCAACACAGTTGCAGCTACTGGATAGAGTCCAGCACAACTCCTGATGGGAAGACAATTCAGAACCACTGATCCAACTTCAGAAAAGAATCTATCTCCAAAGTGGTCAGATATGTAAAGAGTAATCAAAGTGGATAAAAAGGCTAAACAAGCTTATGAACACTTTTATAACAGACGTCACTCAGATAACTGCCAGGTCTGTCAAACTGGATGAACAACTGCAGCTGTCAAAAAAAAAAAAAAAAAAAAAGAACGTAGTGTCCAGACCATATATGATTGAGACCGACAGTGAAGAGCTCAGCAGAAATCGTCAACAGTTACTGTTTATTCCTCAGAAAAAACAATCAAAAGAGAAAACTCTACAAATGGCAGATGCAGAACAAGAAGACAATTACTCAAGGATTCTGGACCAACCACAGCCAATTGTTGCAACTAATGGACAGCCAGATGACCAAGTTATTATGCTTTCAGGTCATGTAATTAGAAAACCAGTACAATTCAGAGACACCTAATAGACTGATACGTACTGAACTTCCAAGACAGCATAATAGTGTAAATATTGTAAATGGTAGGAATGTAGAATTTAAAGGGGGAGATGTAATGGAATGCTAATCCCGCATTTTGCTGTTCAGCTACTAGGTGACACTGTGTGTAAAATACCTTATTTAAGCTAACCTCGGCCATACCTGGGAGAGCATTAAAGGATCTTATGATGAACATATCTGGTGTATATCTTGTTCAGAAGCAAGCTCTGTAGCCATATCTGGTAAAGGAATATGATATCCCATAAATCATTCCAGCACCTATTGGTTTTAAAAAGTCATTCAGTCTGTCTTTGTCTGTATTCTTAAGTAGGTTAGGGCAATTCTATCAGAGACTGCAGGGGGAACGTAAATACATACTCATCTTCTAGCATTAATTCAAATGCACATTTGATATGCTCGATGTACAGTTACTAAATAGTTACTAAATGTTTGCTTTGAAAACAGGCCATTTGAATTTAAAAAGCCGAAGACATTGGTAAAAGAGCTATAGATTCATTGCTTGGACAGATAACCCACTTAGTTATATTCTCAGAAATCCAGAGACAGATCCTTGTGAAAAATTATGAATAATACAACTGACTTCCATAACAATTTTGATTTAAAGTGTGTGGCTTCTATTGGCAAAAAATTGGCTTGCATAATAATTTTGATCTAGAATGTGTGGACCAAAAAAAATAAAAAAGTTTTTAGCTGATGCATTAAGTTGTGGACCAATTATCAAGGTTCCTATTATTCACTATATAGTTTATAAACCCCTATGCTAATAACACCAGTTAATGATTCATCACAATAACTTTCCTTTTAAAATAGCAGTTCATTCAAATTAAATATCAAACTCCCTGACATTCCATTGCAGCACATCATGGTATCTGTTGGCAAATGAGATAAATGACTTATCAGGGATATTAAATGACATACCCTGTGGAAGATTTTACACTCAGGCTGTAGCTATCCTGGTTTGCCAAGCAACACATCAATTTTCTCCTCTCTGACAATGTGTTTAACCTGTGTTTTTTCACAGTGGGTTTTAAAATAAGCAATTAGAAGACACAATGTTTTCTTCGGGTTGATGTATTATGTACTAAGACACAACTGACCTTCAGAGCATGATAGGTATCAGGAAACAGCAACTGTTCTTAAGCTCCTAAAACACTGGGATAAACTCATGTGCCAAATAGAATACTTTTAACCAGAAACGTTATTTTAGTAAGAAGATGACCTTGCTTGTGTTCTTTTTCCAGATCAACTGTAAGTAAATGTTTTATGTTATATTAATAGTTAGTCTGGACTTCCAGATGTCAGAAACTTGTGCTCAACAGATTTTGTTGGATAAGAGTTGGACTTCATGTTTTATTTATGAAGCTGCCTTGCTTATACAGTTCATAAAATATGCAGAAAAAGAAGGAATGGTTTCCTTTTTCGCCTCTCTCCTGAATCTTGACTTAACTGATATGTGAACACCTGCAAAAATGAATAAAATACATAGACATGTAGTGAGTAATGTGAACTTTGAGAGGGAAATGAACAAAGGATTATTAGAGAATGATGGCCAAGAATTCTCATGATATATCAACTCTCTAGAGTTACAAGGGATATGCAGAGGATACAGCTCTTGGACATATGATTCAAGCCCTTCCACCTGGAGTTAGATGTCTTAAGGTGTTAAAGCAGGCAGGCTGCAAAAAGTTACACCATTTGAAAAGCTACTGGCGTTAGCCTTTGTGTGTCTTCAATGGAAGATCTCCAACCCTCATCTTAGGCCTGGTCCCCACTAAGCCCCCACTTCGGACTAAGGTACTTCGAATTCAGCTACGTTATTAACGTAGCTG